TTACTGTATTTCTCTTTGAATGTTTTCTGGTTATATACTTGCCAGTTATTGATCTTCCCTTTGCATTCTATGAAATAGTTTTTAAAAATGAAACAGTTATTTTTGGATGGGTAGGGGACAGGGAAGGAGGAACGAGTGACCCAAATGTGAAATGAGTTTCCTCACAAAATACAGTGAATCTTCAGGGTCTGATTATTAGGAAGCCAAGAATGACGAGGACTCAGGAATTCTACCTCACTTTTGTAGTCCCCAGGCTAGAAAACTTAGACTTTTAAAAAACCTTTATTTTTATTGTTGATGCAATCACAGATGTCCCCATAAGTAGCACCTGCCCTTGCCCACCTCCACACAGCAGCCTGGACTCTTTTATAGCTGTGCCCTTCAGGGCTGTGGAAACATGTAGCAACAGTTTGCATTGCCCGGTAGGGCAGCCGCTAGCCACATGTGGCTATTTCAGCCCAAATTTAATACAAGAAAATATTTACTTCCTCCGCTGCACACATTATGTTTAATATGGTTAATTTACTAGTCAGTGCAAATGAAGAACATTTATATCCTGCAGGAAGTTACAGTGGACAGTGTAGAGGATTCTCGTCCTAGACCAGGATGAAAGTATTTAGAAACTCTCTTCTCTCGGAAAATCCTCATGAATAAGTGAAATGTTGAAAGTTGATTTTTGTTTCCTCGTTTTTGTGTGTGTCCTTTAGCTGTAGCTGTGTGTTCAGGGCACAGAGAATTCAGAGCAGCTGCTCAGAAGCCTCTGCCAGGCCTGCTACAAACCCCAGGCCCCTCCGCCCTTTCAGCCTCAGCCACAGCAGCCCTGCTGGTATACCTTGTGTACAAATGGTGGTTTCTCTTAAATGATTGGAAATCTGTTCTTGTTGATGTAGAGAGGCCTGATTGATTTGGGAAGCTGATAAAAAGAGAAGCTGATAAAAAGAAGCCACAGCACTTTGGTACTTCCTTCTTACTGTTTCCTCCTCTCCAACTTAATACATAGGTGCTTAGGTTAAATATCATTATGCTATCCTTGCTTCCATAAATATGTCTAGAATACAGAGTCTGGGGTTGTTATATGGCAGAAAGAAAGACAATGTTTAAAGAAAAACAATGATAACTAATTTTCTAGTGATAATAGTCACTTTTTTGTATATTCTTATGGAGATTTTTTTTAATGCTTAATTCTTTCCCTTTTGCTCACCTTTTTCAAAATAATGATTTGATTCTTTAACTTCCTAGGGTGAACAATAAAATTGATTAAAATTATTTTAAAAATGCCTCATGGATTCAATAGGCTGTATTTCAGTTTATTGCAGTTATTATCCTTCTTGCCACTCCTATTTTTTTACATTTGATGGGAGCCTCATCACCTCTGCCCTTTTTCTGGTATAACCCAGCAGAACCTGAAAGCATCTTGCGTCTTGGTATGACAAGATGCCCCACACTCGTTCTGTCATTTCTTACATGAGATCTATAATCCCTGATTTTTCTAAGGGACTCTCACAATATTTTTAAAAGAAGAAAAGCTCCATTTTGCTTTTTTTTTTTCCCCTCCTATTTTAACACAATCTAGTGAAACACACACCAACAAATGAGAAAGCTGAAAAAAAATCCTGCAACATATATATACTAGTTTGAATATGAACAATCTTATTACAGGAAAAGGTTTCACTATTCAACTGAAGATAAAGAGTTGGGTAAGGGTCAGCCTGTGTGATCCCTTGAAGCAGTGATGGGTTCAGGCTTTGAGGCAGGTGTAGTTTTGTTGTTCCATTCAAATTATATTGCATACACTAGCCCTCTGAACTGTTAGCTATTCTAAGCACACAGACACATAAATACAAAAGTAGATGTTTAGCTGATTAGAAATCAACAAGTTTATTATTTCTTAAGATCTTTATATTGTGAGCAGTGAGAAATCATAGAGTTTTAACTATCTTTAAATTTATTTTAAGCTCATCCAAAGGGTTCAGTTTTATGTGCACATTCCAGTTAATGAAAGACACAAAGGACAAGGCATATACAAATCAAAGAGTGGGCCTCTGCTGAGGGCTGTTGGACAGAAGCAGAATAATTTGTGGTGTAAGTTAAACCAGAGTAACTTTACTATCTCCCAACCCCTTTTCTTGCTCTTTTCATGGAGAGGGCTTACCGATCTTTTCTGTAGGTTCATGGAAATTATAATATTCATTATCTTCATTATGTTTACTATAAATGGTTCCTTAAAAATCCATTTCCCATTTTTGCTCTAAAATTTAAATTTCACCTTACTGATACGTACGCCAGCATTTCCCTTTTGGCAACGTATCTGTGTAATAAACAAGATACAGAGTGGAGTTTGGCTGGAATGTACATCTGGAATAGGTTTTTATCTTCACACCTCTGATTTCCTTTTGTCTTCCATCTTGCCTGGGATAGCCCATTTATACATAAATCTGTGTATTTGTGCGTGTGTTCATTTCTTAAATCCTGTCACTGTTCTAAGACCGAGGTAACATTTGTAGGTTCACCTGGAAGAATTTGGTCTTTGTATGCCACTTCAGTGGAGTAGGGGGGAAAGCCAAATCACCTCTTTCCTGAGAGAGCATTTCATCCATCTCCATCTCTGTGATCGCACCGAGTCATTATGGAGCAGTTGGCTCTGATACGCTTGCACAGACACAAATTGAGTCCGACAGGACTGATGTCGCCTGGACGTGGCTGTCATTAGAAATGCTGGCATGAGGATGGGAGTGGTGAAGGGGGGAGGTGGGGGGTGGAAAGCTGACTCCTTTAGCGCTTCTCCTAGGGAGTTTTGAGAGTTTAACATTTGATAGCTGTGAACTGTTCGATAAGTTGTTTTCCCGAAGAAGATTAATAATAGCTGATTTAGAGCAGCTGGCTAGCCTTTGGTTTCAAGTAGATGTGTTTCAGTGTACAACATGCTTCTTCATGCCACCCACGAATCGACACAAAAGAAAAAAAAAGTCTATTTAGCGGGATGGTAATTAGAATGCTTTCCCCCTTCCTTGTAGTTTTATCTTCCCTGTATTCAAACCACCCATGCACAGTAATGGAAAAGATAATATCTTTAAAAAAATTTATTCTCACACTCTAGCTCAATTTCAGAAAGGACACTGTAAGATCTGCATTACAATATTTTTTAAAAAGGTTATTTTAGTGGGTTAGGTTATTTCTGGATAGCTCTAGTATTTCCTGTCAGAAATTTTGTATGTGTTTCAAATATTTCAACGGAAAACTTGAAAGAAATGCTGTTTCACTTTGGAAACAAATTCTGATTGTCATTTCATGTTCTTTTCACAACGATAGAGAAAGCAATAGCATTCAGTATTCTCTCTTTGTCTCCATCTCTGTCTCTGTCTCTCTTTCTCATGAGCCTACTTTATAAGATGCTCTGAAAGATTTATTCAGGGTTCTATAGGAACAATTATTTATCACCTGAAGACTCAAACTTCAAATCGTTGCTTGAAGCCAGTTACCGCTTCCTTTTTATTTCCATCCCCACCAGGACCACCATCACTCTCACGGTCCGTGTTCCTTCTCACCTGGGATGCCTGCCATGGCCCGATAGCACTCCCTAAATCATTCCAGGTCCAGTTGTCAGTTAATCTTCCCAAAGCTTAGCTGCATGTTGTACCTTGGCTCTGAAACACTAAATAGGTGTCTTTGGGGTTTGCTGAATAAAGGCCATTTGACTTGGACTGGTATCCCAGGCTGTCTCTGACTTTTTTTTTTTTGTTTTTAAAGAACCTTTTTTATTTGCCTTCTCCTCTTTTGGTTTCCTGATGGATCCATCATGCCCACCCAGTTTCTCGGTGTGGTCTCTGGACCAGCTGTAGCAGCTTCACCCAGAAACTTGTTAGAAATGCAAATTCTTAGACCTGACCACAGACTCACAGAGTCACAGGCTCTGCGGGCGGTGCCCAGCTCTCTGTTTCAGCAAGGCTTCTAAGTGTTTGGATGCACACAGGCATTTGAAGGAGCTCAGCTCACCAGGCAACTCACCTCTTTTCCGAAGTTCCTATCCCATTGCCCTGCCTTTGCATAGCACTTCTGAAATGTCTTTCTCTCATTTTGTTAAAATCCTACCTATCTGCCAAGGTCTAGTGTGAGACACTGCTTTTTCCGGTATGCCATTTTCGATCTTATCTTTGCTGACATTATTTGGTTTTCCTTTCTGGCACTGAACAACTTATTAACTTGTACTGGTCATCTGATGCATCTGCCTTATTTTCCCTACTAAGGTGAAAAGCCACAGAAGATAGAATTTGACTCATTTTTGTCCCTCCCAGTACTGTGCTGTGTGGCGCCTCTGATGCCTTGCACGCAGTAGGCGCTCTAAAAATAGTTTGAGGCTTATTGATTTTACATAGAAGATTGCCCAGGAGGCATATAAAAATCCGGTTACGTCTAAGTGGCTCACGCTAACTGTTGTTTTGACTTACTGAAGCCAAACTAGACTTGAACATTGATGTGTCTTCAGGGAAGAAGCCAAATGTGCTAGTGTAAAAAATTCTAACCTCTACTGTTTAGCTGAAGAAGTTGAATTAGCCCTGTCATTTCACCTGGTGCCAAGAAAGCAGCTTCCATTATTCTGTCAGCGATGGACTTTTATTCTGCACAGTGGAGCCTCTCTTAAATTTTCCTTATAGCATTGATGTGCTTTCTTCCACCGGTGTATTCATGTAATGTTTCATATGAAATGACAGTTTCTGCTCATAGAGTGTTGCCCAGAAGGTCGCACAAGCAGAGAGTGAAATTCAAGGGGTTTGGCTTTAGGATGGCCTGAAAATGGGAACAAGGGAGGCTTGGGCCGCCCCATTGTACCAACCCAGTTATTTGCTTCCTAATACAAAGGCATCATGGTTACAATTTATTGTGTGTTTATAATGGATTGTGTCTCTCAATGGTGGTTGTGATGGAACAAGAGGAAGAGAGGGAGGAATCTAAGCTGCCTTTGTGTTTTCTACCCTCTCTTCTCTCTGTCTCTCCCCTTACAGGCTCTGAAAGTGTTCCAGCTGAAATTTCAGATCGGACACACTCGCCGAGGCGTCAGAGGCAGTGATTCCCAGCTGCCAGCGTGTGCTGCCGCCGGGCTCAGGATGGTGCGGGTCGCCAGGCCGCTGCTGCTGCTCCTCGCTTTCTTCCTCCGCGCGGATGCTGAGAGTAAGCCATTCTCCCCTGCTCCAGGGGGCTGTGACCGTAATGAGTGGTTTTGTTTGCAGTTGGCACCAGGCTCAGGGCCTCTGAATACGTTTCCTTTGGAAGTAAATCCTGAGACACTGTGGGATCCTCCTTGGTCACCAGCCAGCCTTTGAAAGAGATTATTGATGTGACTTCCTTACCATTTCCTCTCTCTTAATGCCCCCCTTCCTTTTTGGTGCATCTAACTGCTCCTACTGTTTTGTTCCTTTTTCTTTTTATACTCTTACCAGTCGGGTGGCAAAGATGTTTTGAGACCAAAGATATAACTCAAACTGAGGTTAACCAGTTGGCATTGCCAATAAGTCAATATTGTTCAGACCCACTAGAAATTTCTGTAGTTTTGTGGATATTTCTATGTTTAGAAAAACGCACAATGTCACATTGAGCCCAATTAAACTTCCAAGCCCCTTGTAGCTGTCATAGCAGCTGTTCTTATGTACTGTTTCCGACAGCTGTCGTCGACTACAGTATTCAAACAAATCAAGCAGAACTGACAACTTTGTGGCCGGATGAAGGGTGTGGAAGTGTGAGAAGTCTGCTGAGTAGAGACACCAAAGTTTGGATTATTGGACTCAATTTATGCAACTGAGATTGCGGTCAGTTGGCTTGCCAATTAACAAGAAGATTATATCTCCTTCATAATTATGAAGAAGATTATATCTCCTTCATAATTAGGGAATCATTAGGTCTACCTTGTTTACATATGTTTCTTTTCCCATCTGTCCTGTGGCCTTTTGGAAGCGATAGTCGTGGAAAAAGACATGTCTGTGGCTTGTACTCACAGCATGTCTGGTTCCTCCGTCGTGGTTTAACTCACATACGAGTTGGCCATTCGCATTGGGAGTCCCCTGGTACTGTTAAAATGTATGACATCTGCAGTCATTAACTTTTACCTCCACGGACTATTTCAGTGAGATTAAGGATATTTCGAAGACAGGGATCCTGTGTCGTGTTGGCCCCTACCTATTAATTGCATTTTGACAAGTATTTCCTCAATAGCAGCTAATCTCTTTGTTTAAATAGAAGCTCAGCTTTCTAAAGAGAGCTTTCCAGGAGTGAAAAGAATAATGTTAATAATAGGATACATATGGAACGCGCATGTTTTAAGCACAACATTCTCTGGTTAATAATGTATATAGTTTCCCAATTAGCACTTGGGAGTGTTGGTTTAGAGTAAAGCCAAAGAATTTTTCATACAATGCCAGCAAATAATTAACTGGGAAAGGACCCAAATGAAAGATGCTCTTGTTATTTTAAAGCCCTCTGTGTCAAAATCTATTTTAAAGTTGAAATCTAAATTTAGTTTAAAGAAATCAGGCATATGGCTTTATTTTTCTGTTTTGGCTAGAGTGAAAGAGTAAGTTGTTTTACAATTGTTAATTTTTGGCAGAAGCATATGAAGACCCTGGAAACCCACTTTAATATCAAATTGCAGTTAGAGATTTTCTTAGTTATTAGATATAATTATTTATCCATGAAGTTTTTCTTCCAGATAAGTACAAATGTTCTTTTACCACGTACCTATTCTTTTGTGTAATTCTTTGGTGGAAAGTGGCAGACATATGTCAAGCGTGTAGGAATAGATACTTTTAAAATTATGTTTTTAAAAATAATCTATACTCTAAATGACCATCACTCACTCCATCTCCTCCCCATCTCTGTTTCCCTCTCCTCTTTCATCTCACTGCCTAATCCATAGAGTCTTACGAAAGAAATAACAAAGGCATGATTAGCAATTTTTAGTTGAATTAAGGTATTTATTATGTTATATAGTCATATGATACCAGCTTTCAACCTCAAGATGTAACCTGAAAAAAAACCCATTCTCTCTCACTCTTCCCATTGCAATTAAAGTGCGGGGACAGGCTGCTTCTTTGCACACCAGTTTTGTTTGGGTTTGCCCTTTTCTGCTCAGCCTTGATTTAGTATATTTTGCCTTCAGCAGATTCATTTGGCATTGTTGAATAGTGTGTTTATATTAACCTGAGCATTGCTGGCAAAAGAGAAAAATAAACCATTTTTTGGTACATTTTAAAACAAGAAAGAACAACCTTTAGTAAGCTGCTGGAGGATATTCATGGTATATGAAAGCACATGGTAGAGCTGGAGATCATGTTAGTCACTAAGAATGTGTAAAATAGGACATAGATCATAACCCATTAAACTGTGCCATCATCTTCTTTTAAAACATGATAGAAATCAAGATATCGGCAGCACTGAAGAAAATTTTCTTCTTCACCATCATGTAAAGATAATATTTTTCTGGCTTCCATTACCTGTGTCACTGATGCATTTCTCTGTATTCATTAGCACATTTAGCCATATTTGTTTTTCCTTTCAACTGAAGATGTTTTGGATTTTCACAAGTGATCAGGAGTCATATTTCAAAATTTAATAGTAGCTTCTAAGAGCAATTTGAGAACTATGGGATAGTTAATTTTTTTTTTCTTTTGGAGAACCTGACTATAAAGGGTTAGGGAATGGGGAGAAGGCATTCCAGTTTACAATGTTAATTTAATGTGTTCAACTCACTGTCTTTTGAAATTATTAATTCCAAAGAACGAAGAGTTAGGATTATAATCTGCCCTGTGGAACGCCCTAGAAAAGTGTTAGGTGTGATGTTGCATTAAGGAGGAGAGCACTTAGGAGCCTTGGTTCAAATCCAAGTTGAAAAATTGTGATAATACCCCTTGAGCAGAAAATTATAGTCTTTGCCACTGCCAACTTAAAATGCCCTACGGGTCCCCACTGTTAAGTCTAGATGTGTGCATGATCTTGTTTTTTTGCATTCCTATGTCTTAAATGCTCGAAATGCTCTCGCTGGTTTCTTGAAAGCATGTGCACACGGTAGGGCTGGAGCCTCAGGCAAGATTAATAAGTGTGACTGCTGTTTGAGCACTAGGAGTAGCTCCTCCCCATGCTAGGCCAACCAGTGTTCTAGTTTAGGTGGTGGTCTGATTGAGGTTCATTCAACAATGACATGCATGCAAATTCATGAGGAATTTAGGTTATATAATATTAGTGTAATCCTGGGGTGAATATTTTTCTTTTGGCTGAGTTTTCATACTGATTTCTGTTATTTTTATTTCACATGAAACTTTAGTTTGTTATTTACCATTCATTACTGTTAACTAGATGCAAGCCAAGGAGCTGCTGTTAGCACCTTTTTTCATCAAACTGCTTTCATTTTAATGAAATCACCAGTTAACTTTATATTCTAGATCCGAGTTTACACTTTGGCCACTGTAATTGGGCCTGAGTGTTTACTGGATCTTCGTTAGAAACATCGCTCTTGGTAGTTTAATTCCTCAAATGTTCTTGTTCTTCCATTTCCTATTGCCTTTTGCCATTTTTAAATCTCTGATGGTGAACGCTCCCTCATTTTCCTTCCTTATTGTTAAGGAATTCTTCCTATAGTTCCTGTGTACTCACTGTATTTCCATCCCATATGAAAGCATTTCATTTTTCCTCACTTTGGTATTATATCACTATATTTAAGGAGTGTCTTTATTTCTTTGTCATTAGAGAATAGACAGATATCTATACTGTAAAATGACCATTTGACTGTTACGTATTTCCTGATGCACAGCACAGGGTAATGATTCAAGGAGGTGACTTTTGAAGTCAGTTCTGGCTGTCATTTTGTAATCTGGAGCATAGTACGTCATGCTCTTTGCCTTAGCTTCCTTATTTTAAAATGTGGATGATGGTAACATTGGCAATGATGATGGTGGTGGTGTAGTACAGGACCTGCTCTTGGGTTTTGTGAGGATTAAATGAATTGATGTAATATACAGATCAGCAGATGTCTTATGGTATGTGTTTAATAAATATTATCTGTTGCTATATAATTATTCAAAAAAAATAAGCTAACATTTTTGTTGAGCACTTGTGTTAAATACTGTGCTAAAATTCTTTTACTTGACCTACAAATTATCAAAATTTAAGGGGTAGATAAACCAAGTTTTTTTGCAGCATGTCTAAGCGTGAGCTTGCTTCTCTATAAAGTCCTAAACATAAGAGATTCTTATGGACTGTTGGTGCAGAAATAAAGCTGAAAATTAAGGGGGGGGGGGAAATTGTGAAGCATGTCTACTTCAGCTAAGCTTTATAAAAACTCTTTTCTTACCATTTTGAGGTTAATTTGGTTTGGCCTCATGGATAATGGACAGTGTTCTCCTCTTTCTGTCCCGCTGCTCCTTGCAGTGCACTGGCTTGAGCTTCTCAGACTGCGGAGGTATAGATATTTACTATAAGCAAATACGGCATTACATGGGCCAGCGGGATGGTGGTAAGCATGGTTAAGAAATTATTCTGTGAAAAAACCATTTTTTTAAGGAAAAGGAAAATGATTGGATTGAAGGGCAGGGCAAATGGTACCTTCAGAGAAATAGCCTAAGTCAAATAGTTAGACCTTCCAAAATGGAGTTGAGAATGGAAAGGATCTTTCTTAGCTTATCAAAGTGCATACTGCTCATCTGACATGGCCATTTCACAATGACAACATTCATGTGTCATTAAAAGTGTCTGTCTGTTTTTGTCTTAGATTACGAGTGTCTGGATGTTTATGTACTTATATATGTACATACATACGTATGTATGTATGTATGTATGTATGTATTTCTATCACAAACCTTTAAACTATCCTTTAAAAAGTAACTTGCTTGGTATAATGAAAATGTTCCAAAATTAGATTGGGGTGATGGTACTACTTGAATATAAACACACTAAATGTTGTTGATTGGATAGACCGTATAATGTGTGAATTATATCTCAATAAGCTATTTAAAAAAGAAAAGGTGGATTACTGCTTAACCCAGCCATTTGGTTAGAATCCCTTTGATATGTGCAACCCTAAAAGGAAGGTGTGTTCGTTTCTTCAGGCCAGTTAAAACAGACATGCGCATTGAGGGGACCAGGGAGAAAGCCAGTTCATTTACTATGTTTATCAATCCCTTCAT